GGAGAAGGTTACGGCAGGAAAGCAGACGTCTGGTGAGTACTTTGTTTAATTTCGGTTTGATCAGTAAATATAACTCGGATGCAGAGTTTGAGTTCAGTATCGTTCTCTTTTCTAACGGATCCCGTTTTATTTCCAGCTCTAAATGGAACATTTCAGGTGTTACACATGTAGAAGTCTTGTTGTCCTGTTTCAGATGCAGACATTCCTTCACTCGGTCTCGTTCTCACCTATAAACCTCCCCTGAGTTTTGCAAATAGCAGCAGACAGGTTGAGACTGAACATGAATCTATGGAAAATACCTGGCTGTTTTTTCATAGCTGGTGGAAACCTTTGACTTTTTAAAAACTAAAACACAGCATTACTGTAAGCAGTCTGACATAATGCAGTTGGCTAGAAGCCAAACAGGGACAGATTTTCCAAAGCTGCAGGGAGAGAAAAGTTTTCTGGGAAGGCTTTTATCTCCCAAACAGATGAAAGAGGTTCTCCACAGGCAGTAGGCGGGAAACAAAAAAAAATAAAACATTCATAGCTTCAGAGTTGTGGTATTTAGACAAAATGTGTGGTATTTGTTTCAGCAGCACCAACCCGATTATGCATGCCTGTCTGCAGGAGCCTGGGGTGTACGGTGGTCGAGATGCTGACAGAAAAACCTCCGTGGGCTGAGTTTGAAGCCATGGCGGCCATATTCAAGATCGCCACCCAGCCGACCAATCCGCTGCTCCCGTCGCACATTTCCGACCAGGCGCGGGACTTTGTTCGCGGCATCTTTGTGGAAGCTAAACGCAGACCCAGTGCGGAGGAGCTGCTCAGACATCCCTTCTCCCAGATTCTGTGCTGAGACGCAAACGTTGGAAGTCCCGCAGACGGATCTGCAGCTTCCGTAATCCGTGTGTACGACAGAAACGTGGAGGCGGCTTTTTAGATTTTTCCCAACTTGGTGCCTCCTGAACACAAGTCCAGATTATGATCTTCAATGGGAAATTGATCCTGTAAAAGCAGCTTCCGTGGTCGCTTTTCGGGTTCCTTTCACTTCCGGCTGAATCCCGCAAGATGCTGGCAGCCATTACACTTTTCACCTCGTGCACCCCCTAGCGGCAGCTCGCACACCCCCAGGGGTGCGCGCACCACACTTTGGGAATCCCTGGTCTACGCAAAGCTGAAGTTTGCAGGTTCTCCATTCCTCTGCTGCACAAATCTCTATCATTTTATATTTTTTATGTGTTAATATTAATGAGAGTCCATCATTTCAGCCCCTTCAGATTAGAGTACATCCAGTTTAAGGATTTTAAAAGCATCACCTGTTCGTATCCTTAGCAGCTTCACATTTGACTTATTAATTCTATGAATTATGATTTTAAATGAGCAAATAAAATTCCACCTGCAGTATTTTGCGCTTACAGGACCAACACTTATAGATTGTGTTTTATTACACAAGGATAAAGAATATTACATTATAAAATCATTACTGGACAATCTGAGTCCATTCTCAAAATGAGGACAAACTCGTGTATGAAAAACCCAAATTCTGTACTTTTCAGACAAGATCTCCGTGTTTGAGGCTGAAATCTGTTGTTGTTTTTGTTTATTTCATTCCCGACCAGTAGATGGCAGTCAGAAAGCTTAATCTTTGTCTCATATAACTAAATATTCCTACTTTAACGTGGTTTTCCATTTCCAAAACACTTTTGGGGAAATATGAGGCTTCAGTGGGTTTCACTACAGAAATAACGATGCAAAGAATGAAGAGAATAGGTAAATAAGGGTCATTAAAATCTTCCTTTTGTTTCCTCCTCTATTGTTTGATGCACTGTAACGTTTTCATCTTTTTTTCTTCTCTTTAGTTTTGTGATTTTCAGCTGACAAAGTGTAAAAACTGGGACGGATAAATTAAAAAGTTACATTCATCACAGACAGATGAGCCTTCTTTTTTAGGATCATTTTAAATCAGATGCACCTTTTTTTTGTAAGAAGAACGTTTTGGGGCTTCACTTAATTAGATTTTTTTTTAAATGTGAAAATTATTTAACTTATGTCCCCATTTCAATCCAGTTACACTTTTAAGAAGACGCATAAATTATATTTTTATATTTCAACCATTCAAATCAGTTGATGCTTTTGTTAAAATCACAGGGAGCAGCTGGCCTAGCAGTGAGACCGGGGCAGAACGTGAACTTTGGCTGTCTGCTTCTGATCCCAGTGCAGATTTTTAATAGATCTTTTTCATCACATCTTTATCTCTACGTTAAGAGAACGATGCTGGTTCGAAAACTATTCATCTGTTTGCTGCTTTGTACGGAAGCCCATTCCCGCCACTAAGAATAAAAAAAAGTGAACTCATAATTATGACTTAGGGTGCGTTCGATTTTCCTCGGAAGTTGGAACTAGGAATGACGTCACACCTGAGTTAACAGCGTTCTGGTGAAAAACACATGAAGCTCATCTTCAAAAAAAATATTCGAAGAGAGATAAAGACGATCCAATCAAAACTACTGTTGTTGATACGCAGAGCTGCCATTTTGGATCTCGAAGTCGGGGTTGTGAAAATTTTGAGAGGGTGCTCTTAGCTATAACACCCTCTTTGGTTCCAGAATGCTATCAAGTCTGACAACTAGAAGGAATTGGACTGACTCTGGAATGGGCGGGGCTGACTCTGGAATGGGCGGGGCTGACTCTGGAATGGGCGGGGCTGACTCTGGTGCAGCTCCGCCTTTGTGGTTCTGCAGCAATCACCACTTGAAAATTTTCCGAGTTTCCAACTTCATTTGATTTTTCCTATTCGGAGGTGGGGATTTCCGAGTTCCGAGGACAAATCGAACGCACTATTAGTATCTCATAATTATGAGATGCGTGTTTTTTTTTTTTTTTGAGTGGTGGGAGTGGGCTTCCATAGGTTTGACACATTCATGAAGATATCTGACCAAAAACTAAGAGTTCAGCTATTTTATGCCATATATGTGTAGTTTTAAAACATTTTAGGGGTGTGATTGAGCCAAAGAGGAGCAGGATCAGAGCTGGCGTCGTGTCAGATTTTGTTGTTCAGCTCACGTGACGACTTTGTTTACCCCGGGGTTTAGACGACACGCTCGCCTGTGTGGATTTCTGGACAAAGGGCTCAGATAAGAATGTTTTTCTGAAGCTGTTAAACTTTTAAAGGCAGCTAAACTCATTTCAGCATTAAAAAGAAACATCTATTTAAACAGAGAATCCCTGGGATAAGCAAAGGAAAACCAACTAGTTGTTAGTCTTTATATCTGAATGTACATTATTATTAGGACAAGACTTGCAGTGCAAAGTCGAATGTATCAGAGAATGGTATATTTTATATCTAAATGTCATTTGTGAAAAAGAAATGATTTTAATTATGACTACTGTGTCACATGTTTGTGTGGACAGCAGAGGCTTTTCCAGACTCGATGAAAGGAAGACTGAGCTCACTGTTGGCTTAAGAAGCTGCTTGATTGATGCTTTTTCACCCTCTTCCCGTATTTTCTCCTGTTCTCTCCATTCACTCTGACTGTTGAAATGAGGGAAAACAGGAGGCAGCCACAGGAAGAAGAGGTTTTTATGGCTGTGGCTGCCTGCGAGCGGAGAAAATGGACTGTATCAAACAAAGACCTCTTTTATTTTTTTAAATGCTGCATTCAGACGTTCTTTGTCAGGTTTCATTGTATTTAAATTTATGGAATTTAATTAAGACACTTAAATGACTTCAGTTTCATGTTTTAACCTAAAGAAAAATGTTACCAAACATGAGTAAAGGTTGTGTTTGCTTCTGTTGTGTGATGGTTTGTTTAGCAGAAATAACTTTTTAAACCGGTCATTGTTGGAGCCGAGGTAAATACATTTAAACTAAAGGCCATTTCATCAGTCAGTGTTGTTTTACTCAATGCTGACCTTATGGAGCGTTCTTCTATCTCCAGGAGCAACAGAGCAGAGCTGTGCTCACACCCAGATAGTTTCTAGTTTCCTTGATTGTGATGCTGCTGCTTCATTCTGAAAATAAGATGCATTTAGCTGCTTGGAGATGTTATTCTATCATTTAACTTTATCAACCTGGTCAATAATTGTGTTTTTTAACCTTCTCTGACAACTCTGTCCTCAGCTTTCTGTGGTCAACGAGCAGTGTGCTACTGTCCCTGAAACCAAACAGCTCTGTGTTACTGTTCAGACGGCCTGAAGACACCTACAGGACTCTCCTGATATGGGCCATTCCCATCTGTACCGGGTCGGCCCAGTCGGCCCCAGCCTGGCCCGGTTGATTCCACACATCCTTGCCTTAAGCCCATGTGGGCTGATTCTACCCACCAATCAGAGGCTTGCTCTAATGGAAGGTGCGAATTTGCTGTCAGCAGTGGGTGTGTTGGCCCTGGTCGGCCTGAAGTAGACCCCCTCGAGAAGAGGGCTGAGAATGAGCCTTGGTTGGCCCGGAAAAATACCAGGCCACCCAGATATGTAAACAACCTACGCTACCCGGCCCGGGCCGACCCGGTACAGATGGGAATGGCCCAATAGATGTTCCTTTTAGTTCAGTCTAGCTGCATTTGTTTATTTTTTAGATTATTCTGCTGAAACACATTACAAAAGAAATGTCTGATTCTCTTTAGTGGATTTTCACTCAATTTTTGTTAATTATTAATTATGTTGGTTTGAAGTTCTTTCAGGGTTCATCAAGAGTTTTTTTCCTCAACAGAAGTGTTCCAACGATTTTTGGTCAAATCCTGGTTATAAACCCACCTGCATTCTGTCAGCACATTGTGTGTGTGTGTGTGTGTGTGTGTGTGTGTGTGTGTGTGTGTGTGTGTGTGTGTGTGTGTGTGTGTGTGTGTGTGTGTGGCTGGTGAACTCGGCTTCTTATATGTGCAATTTTAGCCAATCAGGTTACCTGTGCAGACATCTTGAATGGGGTTGACTTCAAATGTAAATCAGGAGTAGATGAATGTAAAACGATTATCTTCTGGAAGTTTCATTACCTCAAGTGGAGGAGTTTAAGTATCTCGGGGTCTTGTTCACGAGTGAGGGTAGGAGGGATCGGGAGATCGACAGGCGGATTGGTTCGGCGTCTGCAGTGATGCGGACGCTGAGCCGATCTGGTGAAGAAGGAGCTGAGCCAGAAAGCCAGGCTCTAGATTTACCGGTCGATCTATGTCCCAATCCTCACCTATGGTCATGAGCTTTGGGTAATGACCGAAAGAAAGAGATCGCGGACACAAGCGGCCGAAATGAGTTTCCTCCGTAGAGTGGCCGGGCTCAACCTTAGAGATAGGGTGAGGAGCTCGGACATTCGGGAGGGACTCGGAGTAGAACCGCTGCTCCTCCGGATCGAAATGAGTGAGTTGAGGTGGTTTGGGCATCTGGTCAGGATGCCTCCTGGACGCCTCCTTGAGGAGGTGTTTTGGGCATGTCCTGCCGGCAGGAGGCCCCCGGGTCGGCCCAGGACACGTTGGAGAGGTTACATCTCCAATCTGGGCCGGGAACACCTTGGGGTCCTGCTGGAGGAGCTGGTGGAGGTGGCCGGGGAGAGGACGGTCTGGAGCTCCCTAGTTGGGATGCTGCCCCCGCGACCTGGACCCGGATAAGCGGAGGAAGACGACGACGAAGTTTCATTCCATTCAAATAAATCTTTGTCACATTGTTTGATATTTATAGTTTTACCATCAGATTGTTTATGAAACAGTGAACAGCTTCAGTTTGAGCTCTGAGCTTGTTATCTGACACGAGGATGGAGGTGCAGATCTGTCTGTGTTTGGGCCCCCCTGCATTCCTGCTGACAGGCAGACTGCATCTTGGAGGCCTTAAAAGCGGCGCTCTGTTTGGACCTTCTGGTGCTGAGTCATTCCGCTGGCCGGTCTGTTCCAGTTAAACCCCCTGAATGTCATCCTCCCAGCCCACAAGGCTTTTAGCTCCGATAAAAACCTGTTGAGTTACGGAGTCAGACATGCACAAATTAACTCCACTTTATCCGATTTTAACGTTTACAGCTAATATATCAGATTAGCAAGATAAGGTCAGAAAGATGCCAGGATGAAAACAAAACAGCATTTTGAATATAAAAAATCCATTTACTGCACAAGACCCTAGTTCGTTTAAACGTTTCAGATCAGCAAACAGTAAATGCAAAAGGCTGTTTGCTAATTATTTCATTAATTGAGGGGGGAATTTTGTCCAAACTAATCTGGACCTGTTTGACAAAGTAGCTGTTCCTCTTGTTAAAATGAGTAAAATATGAATAATCACAATTATGGGAAGTTCAGTTCAGTTTCACCAGCCACACCCAGGCGGGGGCCAGATTAGACCTAGACGTCACGGGGCAGTAGTAGCTCAACAGGTTGAGCGGGTTGCCCAGTAATCGGAAGGTTGCATGTTCTATCCCGGCTCCGGATAGAGAATTCTGCTGTTGTGTCCTTGGGCAAGACACTTAACCCACCTTGCCTGCTGGTGGTGGTCGGAGGGACTGGTGGCGCCAGTGCTCGGCAGCCTCGCCTCTGTCAGTGCGCCCCAGGGCAGCTGTGGCTACATCGTAGCTCATCACCATCAGTGTGTGAATGTGCATGTGAATGGATGAGTGATACACTGTAGTGTAAAGCGCTTTGGAGTCCTTACTCTGAGAGGCGCTATACAAGTGCGGGTCATTTAATGGGGCCTGTCTGAGTGAGGCTAAAAGATCTCATATAGCATCACATCATGCCCCATTCGAACTAAAGAGCTCAGAACAACCTCTAATGGGCCATTCCCATCTGTACCGGGTCGGCCCGGGCCGGGTAGCCCCAGTCGGCCCCAGCCTGGCTCGGTTGATTCCACACATCCTTGTCTTAAGCCCATGTGGGCTGATTCTACCCACCAATCAGAGGCTTGCTCTAATGGAAGGTGTGAATTTGCTGTCAGCAGTGGGTGTGTCGGCCCTGGTCGGCCTGAAGCAGACTCCCTCGAGAAGAGGGTTGAGAATGAGCCTTGGTTGGCCCGGAAAAATACCAGGCCACCCAGATATGTAAACAACCTACGCTACCCGGCCCGGGCCGACCCGGTACAGATGGGAATGGCCCATAAAGCTCTGAGGACCTGGCCTGGTTCAGGTTGGGGTCAGAGGTCACGATTTAACCCTAACCAAGAGACGGGGCTGCATAAAAAGCCTCAAAAGGAGACGCTCCAAGGGCAAAACCTCTGCTGACCGAAACATCAGCTAATCTGAATTATTGTTTAGGTGTGACAAGGAAAACAAAAACAAAACAAAAAAAGTGATCATAAACATGGTTGTACACAAACATTAAAACGTTTAAAAATGTCCTTTTGCAGTATAACAGATCATTTGTCCCACATAATCATACATGCTGTGTTTTAGTCTGGGATCCTTGAATCACCAGGATGATGAAGGAAGTGATTCATGGCCTCTGGCATTAAAGCTGACTTTAGATGAGAAACAATGGACCGTGACTAACACGTTTGCTCGTTTTATGCATGTACTGAACTTTTAACGATTCCATAATTCCAGCTGATTATTTGGAGTTTTTTCATTATTTGATCATTTGATAAAAACAACTTTCATGGAAAGTTCCTGTGACCTGCTCCAGAACCCTACACACTAAACGAGACCCGGCAACTCTTTAGTGCAGATTCTGGTTCTCTACAGGAAAAGGGGAAACTATTCCCTTAAACCAGGAAGTGCATCTCTGGATCGTGTTTAATTCATTTTGTTTAGCCCTGGGGTGGAGCTGACCTGGTTATGTTAGGGGCAGCAGCAGCTCAACAGGTTGAGCGGGTTGTCCAGTAATCGGAAGGTTGCATGTTCTATCCCGGCTCCGGGAACAGAGAATTCTGCTGTTGTGTCCTTGGGCAAGACACTTAACCCACCTTGCCTGCTGGTGGTGGTCGGAGGGACCGGTGGCGCCTGTGCTCGGCAGCCTCGCCTCTGCCAGTGCGCCCCAGGGCAGCTGTGGCTACATCGTAGCTCATCACCACCAGAGTGTGAATGTGTGTGTGAATGGATGAATGATACACTGTAGTGTAAAGCGCTTTGGAGTCCTTACTCTGAGAGGCGCTGTACAAGTGCGGGTCATTTATCATTCTCTGTTGGTCAGAGCTTGTTTGGCCCTCATATACATTCAGAGAGGATGAAGGGTCATGGTGTGTGCTGCTGTAAAACAGTCAATATATCTGGCAACCCCACCTTCCTTCTCATTGTGCTGCAGCTGAGGCGGTCTCCTCCATCAGCTGTTTGAGTCCATCAGCAGGGAGTGAGGAGCCCCAGTTGGAGTGCATCAGCACTTTTACACACTCTCTCTCTCTCTCTCTCTCTCTCTCTCTC